CCAAACCATTGTGTTGAACAAGGATATATTAGCCCAAGTTAACCACTCTCTCTTTTGACCTTGTGACCACTTTACCAAGATGCCTGTTGGCATGTGTCTTTTGTGTCTGCACTGTAAAATCTGCAGAGGTTATTAGTTCCCTATCTTTGTAGCCCCTGTCTGACCCAGTACTTTCCACGAGTACTTCTAAACACATTTCTTAAAAGAATAGATGCATACCTAATAATCAATAGATTTCACCAGAATAGTGGGTTTATCTGGAAGTTTATATCAATTTTATGCTTAGATTTAGAATAAGTATGTAGTTACTGAGAAAATACTATAATAATAGCAAAAAATACTTAGTGCTTACTATGTGCTAGGTACTGATCTAGTCACTATCTGTATAAACTCCTTTAATTCTCTGATCAAGTAGGTTTTATTATCATTGCTAATATACAGATGAGAAAATTGAGGCACAAAGAAACTTACCTAATGTCAGATAGCCAATGACTGGTAGACCCAGCATTTAAACAGCCACATAGTCTGGCTGTCACCACCATCTTTGTAATTTTTGAAATCCTTAATCACAGGATTTATATAAGGTATTATGAATTTTTTTAAAAGCTCATCTTTGTTCCCCAATTCATGCAATAACTTGGATTTCCTAGTCTACTACTTTATAATGAAACCTCAGCTTACTACTTTATAGAATGAACTTAGGAATTCTTTTGGAAAGAAGTAGTTGGGAAAAAAAATGCAAATATTTATTTGAGTGCCTACTGTGTACCTTCCACTGTGCCAAATGGATACATATGTCTGGAAATTTGTTTTCCTACTTCTGCTGTAAAACTGCCCCTTTATCAAGCTTTCCCTATAAATTTCTCCCTAAAAAGGCTTTGTTTCTGTCTTTCTTTGCAATGTGGGCTGCATAAAAGCAAACAATTTACAGATCTAAGGTGTATTTGGTATCTTTATTCAAGTTCTTGAATTCTAAAGTTTAGTAAGCTGAGATTTGGTTTAGTTTCCAAAAAAACTGTTTCCCAAAAAAAGGAAGGAACTTTAAGGTGTAAATAATTACTACTTATATCCATCAAGACTGTATTTGCCTATCCTGTCTCAACAAGTTGGTTGTAATTCTTAAGTTTTGAATAGATGGTAGTGACAATTCTGAGCTATCTAGATTAAAGAAGAAATTTAATTCCTTTATGCTGTCATTAAAACTGTTTTGACTTTAATTATC